AAAAAAACAGAAAGCCAAGACACTCTGGCAAAAGATCTCTGCGAGTGAGATCCCAGTGGAAAGAACAGGTCTTCAAAGAAGGAGGTACCTTTCTCTGAAGGGAGGAGAGAACCTCCACTTTGACTATGACCTTGTCTAAACAAGATAAGAGTCGGAGAACTCAGAGGGCTTCCATAGCCTTGGAAACTCATGACTGGAGCATAGGGAGATTACTGATGCCATAGACAGGAGTGTCAATTGGTAAAGTCAACAACAGGAGTCACTGTGCACTTACTCCTCATGTAGGATCTCTGTCCTTAATGTGCTGTGCATTGAGATTTAATGCTATAAAAAAAAATCATCTATTATTTTTCACTTTGTGTTTCTATGGGGGTGCAAACTGTTGAAATCCATACTTGATGTATATACTAAGCTGATCTTCTGTATATTAAGATAATCGAAAATGAATCTTGATGTGAATGGAAGGGGAGAGGGAGTGGGAAAGGGGAGGGTTGTGGGTGGGAAGGACGGTATGGGGGGAAGCCATTGTAATCCATAAGTCGTACTTTGGAAATTTATATTCATTAAATAAAAGTTAAAAAAAAAACTTATTTGCAGAACTGAAAAAAAAACATAATAATATGCCTTTTTGAGATTAAGATCTTTGACATTGTAATGATAATACTATAGGAGAATACTAGAAATATAGTTCAACTTTTTCAAACTATCCAGAAGTTGGCGACCAATAATTTAAAAGAGGTTGATGAAAAACTATATAAATTAAATCATTCTTTGCAAATTTCTGATCATTTATATTTTCCAATGCAGATATTTTATATAAGAAAAAATGTTGCAAGAAAAAAGAAAAAATTAAGTAGATTATTTATTTATAAGTATATATAAAATTAAAGTAGGTTCTTAATTTTTTATTTCCTTAATTGGATGCTCAAAGGACAGAGTGGACTAAACTTACTTTAAAAAATACAAAATTCAGTCTTGATAAATATTTGTATGTTAATGGAAATCAAATAAGACTTAACTAGATTTATCTCTAAAAAAATTAAAATAATTTTGAAAATAAATCTGTCTAAATACAGAAGTAAATTTTACAATTAAAGAGACCCAGAGAAATATAATGCTGATTTGTTGTTGCTAACTAGAGAATGTCTAATTCAAGCTCATTTCCAGAAAAAAATACATAAATGTGTCTGTATACATATATACAGTCATACAATATGTGACATTTTACACACAGTATGTCAGCTAAGCACTACAGAAAAACAAACAAACAGAAGAAGGATGGGATAGGTCTGAGCCATGACCAGAATAAAGGAAGTGAATCGTATGGTGCTCATGTAAGAACACTCAAAGCAAAAAGATCAAGGCGGTCTCCTCCTGAAGAGAACACATGCCTGCTTTGATGGAGTAACCAAGAAGAAGTCAAGATGGCTGGAATAAAGTGAATGTTGACATGGCTAACATTTGAAAAATAAAGAGGGGCCCATAAAATGAAGAATGTTGTGATCATTTGGGCAGATTTGGGTTTATTCTGAAAGAGACGGATAGCCAATGGAAAGGTCTGAGGAGGAGTAGTGATGTGACTTTTGGTTTAAAAGGATTATCCCAGTTTGCTGTGTTGCATAAGCTCATGATCCTCAAATTGAAATACTGTACCCTTAGATGCATGTAGTAGCTACAGGTATATTGAATTTTAGGATAAGTTATGTACATACTTCTAAAGGGTAACACTTACCCTTAAAGATATGGGGGAAATAATTACTATGTTAGAAAAAACAAATAAATGTTTTTTAAAAATTATTGTGAAATTCCCATTATATTAAATATAAAACAAGACAATTTATATTTCATGTTTTCCTTTATTTTAATTTTTTTATATTTTACTGCTTTCACTTCAAATGTAGACAATATATACATGTGCATAAGCACTATTTTTTTTAAATCAGAGATATTTATATCATAGATCGAGGTATTCATGACAATGAACATAATGCTGTGGAAAGAAGAAAATTGTAATTTATATGCCATGATTCAAAAAAGTAATATTTGTTTATAATACCAAATGATATGACATTCCTACAATTTTTATACCCTATATTTGTGATTTTTCAGGTCCTAGAGTTATGAGTTCAGTTTTCTTGGCCACCAGCAGTAATTTAGTAGAAAATTTGGGAAAAAAATCCATGATTTATGCATCTTGAGAGTTTATAACAGGGTCCTATGTTAATACAGAAATTTTATAAAATGAAATGGTTTTTGACATACATTAAAATAATTTGACACAGCAAGTCACTTTATTTGTGCAGTGTTAATTATATATACATTTTTAAGTACAAATGCATCATTATGACACTGTTGAAATGGAAGTAAGATAAATTTATGGATCCAAGTTTCTTCTGACTAGGCTATTAAAGAACTCTAGGTAAGTTGCTGGAAATGGGCTGTGGTTTCCTCATCTATTCAATGGGGCACAATCTATGTATGAAAGTTCAGAAATGAGATAATGTATAAAGTCTAAAAGAAAGTAACTTTTAAAATACTTCTGTTATTAAACAAATCCATCAGTATTGTAGCTTCTGGGCAACACTTATGAGACTATTTCTAAAACTTTGTGGAAATGGAATTGAAAGACAAGTTCATTTTGGTGAAAAAAATCAAAATCTATGCAAAACCTTTTTTTTTTCTTAAAGACTATTTATTTGAAAGTCAGAGTTATACAGAGAAGAGGAGAGGCAGAGAGAGAGGGAGGTCTTCCATCTGCTGGTTATCTCCCTAATTGGCCACAATGCCCAGAGCTGCACCGATCTGAGGCCAGGAGCCAGGAGCTTCCTCTGGGTCTCCCACGTGGGTGTGGGGGCCCAAGGACTTGGGCCATCTTCTACTGCTATCCCAGGCCAAAGCATAGAGCTGGACAGAAGTGGAGCAGTCGGGACTTGAATGGGTGCCCATATGAAATGCTGGCACTGCAGGTGGTAGGTTTACCCTCTATGCCACAGTGACAGCCCCCATAGTCTTTTTATAACATGCATTTTCATAAAACTTTTGAATATACCTCATATGCATGTATTCCAAAATCTTTTGCACAAAAATAAACTTATCTTTTAATTTCACCTTTTCTTGAACCAATTTTTTTTAAGATTTATTCTATTTATTTGAAAGGCAGAGTTACAGAGAGAGGCAGAGACAGAGAGGTCTTCCATCAGCTGGTTCACTCCTCAGATGGCTGCAACATCCAGAGCTGCACTGATCCGAAGCCAGGAGCCAGGAGCTTCCTCCAGGCCTCCCACGTAGGTGTAGGGGCCCAAGGACTTGGGCCATCTTCCACTGCTCTCCCAGTGCATAAGAGAGCTGGATCAGAAAAGGAGCAGCCAGGACTAGAATTAGCACCCACATGGGATGCTGATGCCTTAGGCCAGGGCATTAACCTGTTGGGCCACAGCACTGGCCCCTTCTGGAACCATTTGAGACAGCCTCATCTCTCTCTCTCTCTCTACACACACACACACACACACACACACACACACACACATATATATACCACTTTGTAGAGAAGTATAAGCCATATATATATATGTATATGTATATGTATATGGCTGTTTAAAATGGTTCATATAAGAGAATATATTACTCTTATATTACTTAACTATTTTTCTACTAAATATCATCACTTATTCTGGCTGATCTAGGACTTTTTAAGAAATATATTTTGTTCATTTGTAAGGCAGAGAGAAAGAGAGACAGAGACAGGAATATCTCCCATCCCTCCCCTAATCTCTCCTAGTCAAAAGTAGGCCAAGCCAAAGCCAGGAGTCTGGAATTCAGTCAGGGTCTCCCAAATGGGTGGCATAAACTCAAGTACTTGAGCTATCATTTGCTACTTCCCCAGGTGAACAATAACAGGAAGCTGGAATGGGGATTGTAGCTGGGACACCAACCCAGGTCCTTTGATAGAGGATGTGAGCATCCCAAGTGATAACTTTACTGCTGCATTAAGTTCCCATCCCCTGATCTATCTATAGGACTTTTAAAAGTAAAATTTATATCAACTCTTACAAAGACTACTGTAGACCTACAACCAACCCATAAATTCAGCACCATGGACAGCAGAGTGAAGGGCTGTCTTGCTGCATGAGTAAATCTATAAAGAATGTTAGCTCATATATCTGCCTCCAAATTAAATCTTATAGTGGAAATACAGAGAGCAAGAGTACCTATGTTTTATTTCAAAATTTTTAAAGTGAATTACGTGCTGAGAGAAACTATGGTTTTAAACTGGAGTTATTTATCATCTCTTTCTAAAAATTCATTTTTGCTCCTATCCCTCTAATAAGATACAATTACACACTATAGTATACGATAATATCCCAATTTTGTGCAGCATACTGTTTTATATACATATATTTTGAAACGATTTAAGAAGCTTGCATTTTCAAGTTTATCTTTTAGTCATTTCCCTCTCCTACATTAACTTTAAGTCCACAGCATTCCTCCCAAGCAACAATAACAAAGCAACACAGTATTTCTCTAATAACAAAAGTTATACATCTCCACAGAGTGGAGGTCAGTAACAAAAAAAAATTGTCATATAAAGTTAGTATTGTAGAAAATAAATATTATCTTTTCAGATGGTAGCTAACATTAAGTAAGTCTTAAGATAAGCATTAAATTTTTATGATACAATGGAAAGTTTTGATTTAGTTTCAACATAAGGTCAACAAATCTGAAATATATGCAGCTTTTCATAGTATTTCCAAAATTTAGAGTTATAAATTTCAAAGACTTATCCCATAATCCTTCTTAAATACTTAGCTTATCATTATTTAAGGTAGTTATCAAATGAAGTGGGATTATGGGCTATACACTGTTTAATCATACTTCTAAATACTGCATTGCCACAGAAATTTGAAGTAAAATGGTTCCACTTTTGACCAGGAGATGGAGCTGTCATGTAAGATGCAGCCTTATACTTATTTATTTATTTTTCCAATTTAGCATGCTGTTTTCTCACAGACAGTGGGTACCATCGAGTGAGTGTCAGAGCAGAAAGCTAAGGCAGGAGCAGAGAGAAAGCCATGGTCGTCTTTCTTTCTTTTCTTTTCTTTTTTTCTTATTTAGTGAGGATATAGCACGTTTGAGATTGTACTTTCTGCTCTAGTCAGAATTCTAACGAACCTCACTGGAGACCATTATATTCAACACATTCATGGATTCTGTGCTCTGATTTACCATTCCTCTTATTTCAGGTAAGCCAGCATGATTCTTGCTCTGGTCTTTCATGGAATTGTTGACTATTTTAATAACGGTATTTTTTTAAAAAAGATCTGTGTTTTGTAAGCTTGTGCTCAGATCTAAAAGATTTAAATGCTCTAATTCTAGCGATTATGCATCTAAAAATATTCCTGGGCTCAAATGAGCTCTGATTATGACATATTGTATTTTAATATGTCGTTGGCTTTCTAGTCTTTAGCATCCATTGATGGCTATATTTGTTTGCTTTAAAATGGCAAAGCTTTCAAAGTGAAGGATGCATCTTTCTCTCACAAGGAAATGCTGCTCATGCTCCTTAATGTGGTGAACAAATTGTAGAGATGTAATGAAGCAGATTAACATGGCAGTGGCCCTGCCAAAGCCTGGGGCTGAGGCTTCTAATAGCAGCCTCAAAGGTACGCCAGCCTCCTGAACCCAAAGGCCTTTAAAACACTTCCTGCTGGCTATCATGGCACAGATTATTTATGCTTTCATTTTTACCTTTTAGAAGCAATATGTAAGTCATTACTCTCACATGAATGCAGATTTACGTAATGTGTTTAGTAGACTTGGGATGATAGTACAGACACACTCCCTCCTCCAGAACTGATGTGAGGAGTGAACTAACAACAGATTAATTGCTGTGGAGGTGAATTGTCCTTAGATTTTGGTAGATTTTTGATGATAGATTACTGTCATTTGAGATAGCTGATATTGTAGAAGGTGCTCATATTTTAAATTATTTTAGGTCATGTGACTTTAGCTGTGTTGAAGAGTGGAATGACTCAGGAGGTGGAAATTGCATACAACAGCCTTGATTCTCTGCTGCTTCTCATGATTCTCTGAAAACCTCCTTTCATTAATATTAAAACCATAGGAAGAAATAGAGCCTTCACTTAAAAGCCACTGATTTCTATTTAGATCAATTCTGTGTGAATTTTAAAATATTTTAAAATACTTTTTGTAAAATTATTTCTAAATGTTTTGCTCCCTCCTCTTGTGGAAAGAGCTCTCTCTGTGTGTGTGTGTGTGTGTGCATGTGTGACGGTGGAGGTGGCAAGCTGTAGAGTTGGATGCTTCAATGTATTTCTATCTCAGTCATCGTTTTCCTATAAAGAGGTACTTGTGCTATGTCAGAGGTTGTGACTGCTATGGAGATAATTTAGCTACATGGAATGATTTTGTAGAATGGTTTGCATCACTGAGAGGGAGAAGTATGTGTTCTTTTAACATGTGAAATCTATAAGGAGTTTCAGTTCCACATAGTTCCATATATGTGAGAATTTTTAGAAGCACAGATTTTTTAGCATTTGTTCATCTTATTATTTAAGGGAAAGCAACTGTGGTTGAGAGATTAAGTGGATCTTCTGGAGTCATATTCTAAATTAGAATCAGGCAAGGCTAAAGCACTGGCTGACAATTTTCAGTATGTTCTGTAGCAGTAAGGCAATTTACCTTTAGTGTGAACATGTCCAGATGGTATAAACTAGGTGTGCTGATATTCACTTTGTGTGTGTGAGTGTGTGTGTGTGAGTGTGTGTGTGTGTAAGAGAGATAGTGTACAGGTTGTTAATAAATGGCATATTACATGTCATCCTCAGTTTTCTGAAGATTCCTAGCAAAACATCTAAATTAGCAACTATGAAGACTCTGTTCCTTAGTGTTCTCTTTTCACTATGATATGAGGTACACCATTCTACCTTATGCCCACAAATTACGTGAAGGACCACATAGTAGGTCACAGCCCTATTTTTCCTACCCAGTACGTTGGACGGTTCATATAATCTGTTGACACTTAAAAGAATATCATCTCAGGCTCTGGTCTTCCCTTCTGTCTTGCCCACTTATGAGGCTTAGGCCCCACCCTATGTCCTCATTCTCTTAAAACAATAAGGGGATTAAAATATGTCACCTCTTCATACAAAGCATATGGAGTACCACATAGCTACCAAGAACTGTTCATGTGAGAGATTGAGAAACACAGTCACAGACTTTACCTTAAGGAGTTTAAAGTGGAAATGTATGTGCAGAACTATAACCATGGTTCAAAATATGATAAACATCAAAATGAATGCAGAACAAAGTTGAGAAAAAGAATGGTACAGAATCAGGAACAGGGGCCGGCGCTGTGGCGCAGTGGGTTAACGCCCTGGCCTGAAGCGCTGGCATCCCATTTGGGTGCCAGTTCTAGTCCCGGCTGCTCCTCTTGCCATCCAGCTCTCTGCAATGGCATGGGATAGCAGTAGAAGATGGCCCAAGTCCTTGAGCCCCTGCACCCATGTGGGAGACCTGGAAGAAGCTCCTGGTCCCGGCTTCGGATCGGCACAGTTCCGGCTGCTGCGGCCATTGGGGAGTGAACCATTGGATGGAAGACCTCTCTCTCTCTCTCTCTCTCTCTCTCTGCCTCTCCTCTCTCTGTGTAACTCTGACTTTCAAATAAAAATAGTTAAATCTTAAAAAAAAAAGAAACAGGAACATCTAAGCTGTGCCAGGCACTAAGCTCCATTCAGGGCATTTAGAATCAACTAATAGTCACAATTTCTAAGCACAAAGAGCCCAGAGTACAGAGAAAAAGATTGTAGAAAAATAAGATAGCTAAATTAGATCTTTAAGAGTGAGTTGGATATAAGTAAGTAAGAACAGAAAGTTTCCCATACCAGGCAGAGAGGTGAAATAAACAAATGTGAGGAAATGGGGATTGACTACAGGGCACTGTATGAGAGTACTATGGAGAATCATAGATGAGCCAATCTGAGTTAAGGCCTGTTCTGTTATGGTGATGGTGTGATTGCTGCTTTTCCTCTGGGGCAGCAAAAGTAAGAATGATAAATTTTATTCCTGACAGTATGAATTTAATATACAGACACATACTCTCACATCGAGATGTTCTGTAAGAAACTGAGATCTTTCATGTCCAAATATCCTATTAAAAGATTAACGATGAATATGTGGATCCATCTGAAGTTGTTGCAAGTATTAAGACTTACATTAGTAAATTTCACTGAGGATTAAAAATGAAGGGAATATAACTGGAAGCATAATGTTAAAATTTGAGCAATAAAAGGAATCCAGAAGCACTATTAATTAATTGTGGAAATGTCATGAAAGATGTTAGAGGGATAACAATCTGATAGGAGATAAAGTGAGTAAACTGAATACCAAAACAGAGATCAACAACCAGAGGAAATCTATAAACAAGAAATATAAGGTAGAGCTTTGGACTAAGTTATTATTAGGTCAGAGATAAATTTTAAGCGAAGAGATTTAGTAGATTGGCAGAGACAGGGTCTCTGGTTGGGGATCATATAGAAAATGAAAAAGTTGAGGAACATAGTTAAATTTCAGGGAGTTCACCAGGAAAGGTAAGAGAATTATTTTATAATTTGAGAAAGAAGTTACTATTGAAGGAAATTGGACTTTTGTTAGAATTTGAGAAACCTAGGTCTCTTCCTAAAGAGAAATCAAGCAAGGAAGAAACAAACAATACATCAAGGCCCTGAAAGAGACAGGACATAAATATTCAAAAAATATTTCTTCTTCTACAGGAGTAATTGGTGGGTAACACTATAGAGAAAGGTGGGTGAAACCCACTTTGGATGGCCTGTTCTTGTAAAGTAAATTATTTTCTGTGAGATAAAATATCTCTTCTGTTTAAATCAGCTGGTGCCTCAGAAATGGCTATTTGTGGCATATGGACATTCTGGAAGAAATAACTAATCCTTAGTAGCAAAACACTTTCCAGCAGAGCGTAGTTTAGCTGCTTTCATCCTTGAATTGGAGATGAACAGCCCAACACTGTTTCATTTTGGCTTACTGTTCGGTTATCTATTTATTATTTAGAATGACCTGTTTAATGACAAGTTCTGTTTAAAAGCTGCGCTGGATTCAATGAACCATGTCTAATAAACGTATCTAGTTTGATAATTAGAAGCTGTTTTTCCAGTATCTGAAATAATTCAGGCTTTTTTCTTCTTTGACTCCCTTAATTTTTTTAGCACTGTCACCAAGAATTTCATAGGAAGAGAAGAAAGTCAGTGTTATCACAAACTTCCTTCCCTTAAAGGAATTAGCCTCCTTTATTAAGCTTCATACCTCAAGTTCTTTGTTTTGACTTTTCTGCTATCAGTTTCAGCATCGTCTCTTGTCTTTGCTAGAGCTGGTCTTCTTTAGAAATTCTTTGTATTCGTATATCATTAGGGGCAATGTGAAGCCTTGAAGGAGGCTCAAGCCTAGATGAAGAATTATGTCTGTCCTACTTGAGTCTTTTGAAAGACTATCCTCAGTTCAGACATACTCAGTTCAGTTTAGACGTGGTGGAGCAGAAATGTCATGCTCTTGATTCTGCATCTGACTCAGTTCTGCTAAATGGTGATCCTGGCAGTCAGAATGAGAAGGGCATGGGAAGATATGTGGGTGGCTGAATAGATGGAAATGGCTTTCCTTCTCTCACGTGTAATCTGGGGCAATGTTGGAGAGGCAGACTTCTCTATACTCCTCAGTGTCTTGTTCTTCCTCAGAGGGTCATCTGGATATTCTCATCACTATGTCATCCAGCTTCTCAGGTCAGTAAAGGAAAGTGCCTTTATTTAGCTCAAATTCCCAGTTATTAATAAAATAAACATTAATTCCTATCTGTATAAATCACATTCTTATTGACAGCTGTGGAATTCATAACCCTTATCTATCTCATAATTTTAATGTTTCACTTCACCTTTGCTTGGACATCAGCATGGACACTTTGGGGCATAGAATGGGGTATCTGATGATTTAAGATGGAAACACTAATGCAAAGCGAATTCCATTAGTATGTGCTTCATATACACAAGGAGCTCAAGAACAGTGTTCAGTACCAGAGGTTCTGAGGTGACTGCCAAGCCTGAGGCTAACTTAACTCATCACTTTTCAGCCTGGAGATCTTTCAATGGCATTCAAGTCTATGTTTGGTTCTGTGTTAATTCTTTTTAAAAAGTATCTAATTTATATTGTAAGTTTACAA